CCAAGCAACCCCATAGGAAGGGGGATCCACGCGGTTCTGGGTTAGCCAACGCTGTCCCACGGCTGCAAGGTGGCATCTGCGTGATCAATCCGCTCCTTGGGGTTTGTGGTGGTGATGGGCAATGTTTCCCCTCACAAAGGGTGGCTGTCATGGGTGATGTCTGTCCTGGCAGCGTGGGGCTGCACAGGCGAAGAAGCTGAGGCTGCAGGTGAATGGTTTCCCTCTGGGGCAGCTTCCCACCTTCTTCCCAGCAGCTCTGGGAAGTCTGAGGAGACCAGACCCTCACTGGGGTTTCTGTCCCTTGGCCACCAGCTCCGATGCAGAGTGTGCTCCTGTCCCTTCGTGGGGGGCCCTTGCTCCCCAGGGTTTCCAGCCTCCCTTCCTTGGCATTCTGAATCAGCGCTGAGCAGCTGGTACTTCTTACCAAAGCACCGTAAAATGTTGATGGTCACCTGCTTTTGTATTTGGGATGGACGCTAATTTGCATCTCTTAACCCCTCTGTGCTGGCTCTATTACCTGAAGAAAATCTTCAGATTGCTTATTTACTTCTTTAGTGCAGTAATCATGGTCCAACGGCTGTTTTTTCTCCCCATCCTGTGACCCTGGGGGTTCATTTTCAGGCTTTACCCTATTTATGGTTGGCTGCACACTGCCCACCCCCCATCATCATGGGGGGCTCCGACTCCTTCCTGCTCCCCCATCTGCAGGGAGTTGAAAAAGTGGCTGCTGCTGCTCCTCCTGGCACTGCCAGGGCTGAGTCTCCCCAGGCGTCCCTCCGCTGCCCTGGTCTGTGGGCATGGGCGCGAGGGCTTGGAGGCTGTAGGCCTGTGGCAAGGAGGGAGTGCAGCCCTGTTAGCTCAGCATGGCTCAAGCCAAAGGTGTAGCAGCTCTCTCCTTCCTATTTACAAGGAGCAAGTCCTCGTGGGTTTTGCTTTCTCCCCTGTCCGTGGGTGTGACAGGTCTCCTGGGCAATGAGCTAATGTCCCGAGTGGGTTTGCTGGCTCCTGACCCAAATCTTCTCCTGCCAGGCAGAGCAGCCCCTCTACTTCTTGTAATGTTTGTACAATGGGGGCAAGTGATATGCTTAAAGGATTAACTCTTCGCTCTCCTTAGCATCTCTTCACTTTACCATGTAAGCCAAGAGAGACAGCAAGATAGAGATTGCTGTATCGTGTGTGTGACCACAAGAGATTAATTAAACAGTAAGCCCTCATTACTGAGGCTAAGGCTGACCGACTTACCGTGCCTTGTAAAATAGCTGAATACTTAATTTACACTAGACTGTGGACATTACTTTCACCATTAGCTGAACAAACAACGAGCACCCAAGCTAAACGGATTGGTTGCCTGCTAGGTGTGCCATTATAAATGGAGCTATCTCCTGGCGCAGGCGTGGGGCTGTCCTCTGCCTGGCTCAGGCTGGCCAACAGGTACAAAAGAGCATTTTTTTATAGGGGGGAGCTGCTTTACAATGCACCACCCTGCCTTAAGCCTGGGGGATTCCCTGCCCATCAATATTATTCAGCTTTCAGTCTGGTTATCAAAGTTGTCATCATTTGCATTTCACTGCGGGTTGGGAAAAAAAAGGAAGATATTGAAAGGCGTAAAAAACCCCAAACCCCAACTCCCAGTGCAAGGAGATGGAAGTAGGGCATCTAGCTCCTATTTCTGCCTTTCAGTATCTTCCTTAATAACAATAATAGATTCTGAAAAGTGAAAGTTAATCTGTAGCTACGGAGCCTTTTATTGTGTTTCTCCCTTTCTGTGTGCATTAACCTTTCAGATCTTAGAAGGCTGTGGAGTGCGCATTGCTTTTTTTAATTCGTATTATTCTTGCTTGCTGCATTGTTCTTGATCTGGTCCTAGACAGAGTAACAGCACATCCACCCATTATCTGTAGCTCATTGAGCACTTCATCAAACCTTCAGTCTGTCTCTTAAATTTCTGTATTAGGTGGATTGGAGGTCCCAAGTGGGCTTGAAGCTTTGCTGAGCTGAGCACTCTGCAGAGGAGAAGAGAGCATCCCAGGATCATTGAGGTAATTATCGAAACAGAGAAAAGGTAACAAAAGGTCTTCTTGATGCCTGTTTCAAGAAGGGGGAGAAATATAGTGATTTAAAGGCTTTAGATGTGTCTGTGCCCAGGATCATTGAGACAGCTCTCGGCAGAGGCCTGGTGGACCCCGTGTCTCCCAGTTCGGGTTCAGCACTTTGCCAGCACACGACAGCATTCACTGCGTGTTGGCCAAAATCACTCCTGCAATCACAGGGTTTTGGGAGGTGGAGAAGTTACCACTGCACTGGCTTTGCTTCTGCCTGCGTATTTCATAGAATCACAGAATGCTTTGGGTTGGAAGGGACCGTTAGAGGTGATCTAGTCCAACCCCCCTGCAGTGGGCAGGGGCATCTTCAGCCAGATCAGGTTGCTCAGAGCCCCATCCAACCTGGCCTTGACTGTTCCCAGGGATGAGGCATCGACCACCCCTCTGGGCAGCCTATGCCAGCCTTTCACCACCCTCACTGCACTGAATTTCTTCCTAAATCCCTCCTCTGTTAATTTAAAGCCATTACCCCTTGTCCTAGACCCCCATGCCCTTGTCAAAAGTCCCTCTCCACCTTTCTTCTAAGCCCCCTTTCAGCCCTGGCAGGCCGCAGTCAGGTCTCCCCGCAGCCTGCCCCTCCCCAGGCGGACCACCCCCAGCTCTCCCAGCCTTTCCTCCCAGCAGAGGGTCTCCAGCCCTCGGGTCATTGCTGGGGCCTCCTCTGGCCCTGCTCCCACAGGTCCAGCTCTGCCCTGTGCTGAGGGCTCCAGAGCTGGATGCAGGGCTCTTGGGGGGTCTCAGCAGAGCGGGGCAGAGGGGCAGAATCCGCTCCCTCGCCCTGTGCCCACGCTGCTGGGGATGCAGCCCAGGGCATGGTTGGCTTCTGGGCTACCATCTCACATTGCCAGTTCGAGTCCAGCCCTGTATTGATACCAAGGATTACCCTGACCCAGATGCAGGACCTTGCACTTGGCCTTGTTGAACCTCATGAGGTTCACACAGCCCCACTTCTCCAGCTTGCCCAGATCCCTCTGGACGGCATCCCGTCCTTCAGGGGTGTCCAGTGTACCACTCTGCTTGGTGTCATCTGCAAACTTGCTGAGGGAGCACTCGATCTCGCTTTGTGTGGCTGAATGTATCTGCAATCTCACTCAGCCAGGATCAGTTAAATGCCCAATTTTTAAAGACAACTGTCTCCATCTTTTCATACGCATTGTTTCTTTTATTTTGTGCCGTATGAACTGGAGACTCCATATAGGAATCTGATTCTTGTTTTCTATTATCTGACCACATGTTGCTAAAAACCTATTCTTTTTCCGAGGTTAAAAGGACCAAAACTATCTTGAAACTGGAAAGACTTTGGATGTGCTGGTGAAAGGACTCAAAGATACTTCAGGGAATATTTCCCTGCAACAGTGTTTTGCAAGAGGATGTGATGTGGAAGGTGAGTGCCACTAATCTGGTTCTAGCTTTGTCAGGATTTCCTGAGTCTGTTTTGAAGGGTGAAGGTGAACACTCACTTATCGCAGCTGCAGCACTTCAGATACTGTCGTTACTCCACATTGTTTCCCTGCTCCGTAAGTGATGCCTTCTTGGAGATAAGCTTGCCCAGACAGCTGTTTCCAGCTGTTCCAGAGCAAAGGCTCTTTTTTTAGCACACGAAAATGCTGTAGAAGTTATCTGTTCCCCCTATGTGCCCTCCCTCAGACACACTGCATATGCAAGTGCCTAATTAATTATGTTGCATACACAAGTGTCAAATTTTTGCAAATGTTGGGTGCAGAAACACCCACTGAAGCTGCAGGTATCCAGAAATCCAACCATCATCTTCCTTAGATTTAGAATGCAAACTGTCACGGCAACAGCCATCCTGCAACTGAGGAAGAAGAGGGCTTTGCAGTGTGTTGCCCTCGCTGTGTAATGTCGTTGTTCAGTCCCCAAGTTCTTCAAAACCTTAGAAGACCTTGGGAATATGGGCCCTCCTACACCTTACCATTTGGCATCTCATCCCAAAACTTGGCTCCTATAAAGATGGCCCATTTCCCTATATCTTCATTTCTCTGTATTTTCTATCTTTGTGCCTCAATAGCTTCTCTTGCCCGTCACTGAGAAGATGACAAGCCCTTGCAGCTTGATCAATCTGTATTCAGCAATAATGCTGAAAATAATCCGAGTAAAATGTGATTCCTTTGGCAGTGTGATTTGACACGCACCTGACATGCTGGGAGCTTTGCATAATATACAGCAGACGTCTGCGGGGGACAAGTACAGATGCTGCTGGGTTTATGTGGAGCTGGGTTTGTGTGGAGGAACTGGGAGCGGGCTGTCTTCAACTTCTGTTAACCTTCGGGCAAGTGACTGAGGGAATACCACAACTCCTCTGACATCCCTTTGCCAACCCACCTAGCTCCTGATCTGGACCAGAAGAGTCCTGGTGCTCTGGCCATTCTTATGATGTTTCTCACTCTTGGATTTCAAGTGATGCTCACCCAGAGCTGAGCTTATACGTTGCTCTGGCTTGTCTAAAGTCAGATTTGAAAAGGTTTCTTGACATCTAGATATTGAGAAGCATTTAGGCAGACTTTCAAAAGAGCCTAAGCAGAGAACAGACCTGAATCTTAATGAGGACTAGATGTCTAATCATTTTTGTACCACAGACAGAGAAGTACTGAAAGACAGGCTAAGGCTTGCCAAATGCCTCACTCTGGTGATCAAGCCCTCAGTTGAATAGAGGTCCACAGCAATGAAAGAGAAGTTGAGAGCTTGTTGCCTTTCCTCCCTGGCTGGTCAGTTTTGAAGAACAGTGGTGTAGAAATGATCTTGGAAATGCCAAGAAGAATAAAAATCTGAAGCCTGATATAAAAATAGTACTTTTTATCCATCATCTTATCACTGTTCCACTGCCACGAGCACTGGGAGTGCACAAGCAGGTTTCTGTTCCACACAGCAAACGCTGTTATGGTGCTGCTGGGCCTCGGCTGTGGTGCAGTGACACCGTAAGTGGGACACGGGGTGTCAGGCAGGAGGGCTCTTGCCTGTCTTGAACACATGGACAGCCTTGCTTCACTGTGTACTGTGATTCTGTAGATATCCATTGCTGTGAATTTTCTGGTGTGTTATTATTCAGTCTTTGGTCCTTCTTGTTGAAGTACTCTGAGCTGACTGCCTGGTTGTTTAGCTACCTGGGATGTGAAGCAAAGATTCCTGCAGACTTAATTCAGCTGAGTTCTTCCACTGTCAAGGAACAGCTGCTGGGTTTCATGTCATGGTCAGCCTCTCTTGTTCTCCTGGGGTTCGCTCCAGGTGGAGAAGATGCTGAGCTGGGACTCATGGTACCTGATTTCTTTTCCTGACCTGCTCTGGGTCTGTAAGCACCGTGCCTCAATTTCCTTCTCCTCCATTTTGACTGTTTAGACTAAGCTCTTGTAAATAGTAAGCTTGGTCTGATCTCCTGGCCTGGAAGAGCTGTGTGGTGCTGTGGGCTTGGGATGGTGCTAGCTTGGAGCTTTGGGCACTGCTTCGTGCAGGGATGAAGTTGCTGTGCCAGCCAGCTACGACCCAGGGTTTGCCATCAATACTCCCAGCCCAACCGACGAGCTCTTGGGGGCAGGGTCTCTCCTACTCTGCATTTGTACAGCAGCTAAGGGTAACTGGCCCCAGTGGTGTCAGACGCTCTGCGTCGTGATTGTGGTATTGTCTGTAATACAGGTACATAGGAGGAGCTGTATTTTCACGAGGCCTCTCTTTCC